CACTTATTTATATAATGTGTTTACCATTTGTACGAAAACGTGGTCATTTTCAAGTAAAAAATAAATTTATTTATTTATTTTTTTGTTTATTCAATAAAAAAAGAAAATACTTTTTTTTAATGTTTTTCATTAAGTTATTTTATTGGTGTCATATGTTAACACTTCCATGGTTAATTATGATGCTTTTACATGGACGATATTTTTGGAAATGGTTATTAATTCCTGGTATATTGTATATTATTGAAAAAATTTTACGTTATCGTAAATCACGTTCAAATAAACATGGTGAATCTTTTATTATGGAAGCTATTCTATTACCATCACAAGTATAAATAAATCAAAAATTTTGATTTATTTTTATGTTTTTTTTTTTTTTTATGTTCTTAGGTCATTCATTTAGTCATTAATAAACCACGAAAATTTACATATAAACCAGGAGATTATATTTATATAAATATTCCATCAATAGCTAATTTTGAATGGCATCCATTCAGTATAAGTAGTGCTCCAGAACATAAAGGTATGAAAATAGAATATTAAAAACAAGTTATTTTATTAATGATTGTATCTTTTTTCTTATTCAAATAGAGCATCTTCTAAAAATAGAAGAAGTATATATAAGGGCATGAATATTTTTGATCACCAAAAAAAGTTGAAATTGATCACCATTTTTTTTTGTTGCGAAATGATCACCAAAATAAGATACAAATGATCACCATTCTTTTTTGTTGTGAAATGATCACCAAAAAAAGAGACATTTGATCACCAAATTTATTATGAAGAAGTAAATAGAAAATATTTCTGGTTTATCTTTTCTTCGTTCATATGTAATCAAATTGTGTAATTTAATTTCACCAACTGATGCTTGAGGATAATTAATGACCAGCGTTTTTTTAATTTGAGTTTCTGTTAATCCGCATTTGACGTGATTAGACACACATTGACGTACTGATGATGGTAACCTCGTCGTTGGATTTCCTTCATTTTCTTCATGTTGATGTGTATTTCTTGACATTATTTTAATTGATTCCATATTGTTGTCAGCCACAATAACTTTTATTTCAAATGAGCATAATGGATATTTTCTGTATTTGCTACATTTGAATGAGTATTTGATTTCGTTTTTTCAATCTGATAGTCGGTATTGACAAACATTGTACTTTTCTGTAACGAATTCTTTTGTTTCTTCATATGATTTAGCAATGTGTAGCAATTTCCATTCATTATTAGACATTTTTATGGAATAATTTCTCATGGCAAAATATTCTTTTTAAACTATTTTTATTAATTGGATCATTTCAACAAAATGAGTTTAGCTCAATCAGAGTTAACTCTGTTATATTAATCAATTAAAGTTCACGATAAACATTTGATTTATCAAAACTATGTTAACTATATCTCATAAAAGTAATATATTATCGAACATTACAAGTTAATTAACTTGGTGATCAAATGTCTCTTTTTTTGGTGATCATTTCACAACAAAAAAAAATGGTGATCATTTGTATCTTATTTTGGTGATCATTTCGCAACAAAAAAAATGGTGATCAATTTCAACTTTTTTTGGTGATCAAAAGTATATTTCTCGTATATATAACATATGCTCATCGGCACTTTGAACTTTTTTTAATAAAAGGTTACATGATCTGTTTTGTAGATAAAAAAGACACGTTCGCTCTCATCATTTATTAATTTACCCATCATTGATAGACACTCTTTTGTTGAGACATGAAAAGAAAGTGTAGGAGTTCATTAAAAATGTAATTTTATGAATGGAAATGATTTTTTTTTTTTTCGTATAGAAAATTAAAAATATAATTTTGAGATAGTATTTACATTTGATGAACTATAATCTTCATTCAATTAGTTTGAACCAAGAAGAAAACAACAGATTTCAAAGACTCTACAAAAAAAAAATCTCTTAAGATTTCAAGAAATTTTTGGATCCGATAGACTCTATTGTTGACCTAGCGTTCATCAGGACGAATCATTTTTGTTCCCAAGTACGTTTTCATTGTTGTTGCTTTTTTTAAAATAGTATCTACTATATGTTAAGATCATGATTTTTTGTTTCCTGTGATAAATGTGTCATTAAAATAATAAATTAAGATATTTTTATATTTTCTTGTACTACAAATATTAGTCATTATATATTCTTAGAATGTTTTTTAAAAATCGTATAAATGATTAATACTAAAAGAAAACAAAGGAAATATCTTTATGATTTAGAAAGTCTATGGCTTCATGTTCATGTAAATGGTCATTGGACACGACGTGTTTATGAATTATTTCGAAGAAAATTAATTGAAAAACATGGTGGTGTGATAAATGATTTTAATGATTTACGTCTTCGTTCTTCAATGCGTTCACGTATGTCGAAAAGTTATATTGATGAATTACGTGGTATACACCAACAAGAAATTAATTCTCAAATTGATCTTAATAATAATAATAATAATAATAGTGATAATTCTAATCGTTCATCTCATTGTTCGACAACAGGTATTCATTCAATTCAACCAAAATCAATATCAATATCATTTCCAACAATAAAAAATCAACAAAAACCTATATGTTCATCATGTCAATCAACATTGAGTTTACATGATATACAATTAAATTCAATTGATAAAAATCATCATACAATTACAGAAATTAATCCTTCAAATATACATACATTTAATAAAACAATTCTAATGAATCCAAATGAACTTGAAAATATTATAGTTGAAGATATTGAAAAATTAACTTATGAAAAAGATGATATTAAATTAAATGAACAACAAACAAAATCAATAACAATACTTAAACCAGCTATTAAAAATAATAATCGATTAACTGCACCAGTTAATAATGATTATTGTACAAGAATAGCAAATATATCAACAATTTATCGTGAACAACAAATAGAATTGAATGAAACACGTTTAACTGATGCACTTGGTTATTTACGTATGTATAAAAGTCATAATCGAATACAATTTAATTCACTTCAATTTAATGATCGAGAAGATTTACAAGTAAATTTTTATTTAAAGATAATAAAAAGAAAAAAAAAACTCAAATAAAATTATTCTATAGGTTTTAATTGATGGTCCATATGGTGCACCATCTCAACATATATTTGAAGCTGAACATGCTATTTTAATAGCTGCTGGTATTGGTATAACACCATTTGCATCAATTTTACAAAGTATAATGTGTCGTTATCGAAATCATCGACATAAATGTCCAAATTGTGAATATATTTGGAATAATCCTGAAAGTGAAGAACTTTGTTTGAAAAAAGTAAAAAAGAATCATTTGATATTCTTCTTTTTATTTTCTTTTATTATTATTGAATTTAAAATTTTTATTTTTATTTTTAAGGTTGATTTTATTTGGGTAACACGTGAACAACGTTCACTTGAATGGTTTATTAGTTTATTATCACAAATGGAAATTGAACAACAACGTTTAAGACAAAATTCTGATAAAGGTTGTTTACTTGAAGTTCATTTATATGTAACAAGTGCACAATCACAAGCAGATTTAAAAGCTTTAAATATTTATTTATCACTTGATTTAATTGGAAGAGAAAATTCAGCTAATTGTAATGCTATTGATGGTATTCGACAACGAACGAAACATGGTCGACCTGATTGGGATCAAGTAAATAAAAAAAAAAAAAACATGATTTATATTCTAGTTCTTTTATCTATCAAATTGATAAATTACTTATGTGTTACGTAAGCATAAATGAGTCAATACAAAGTATATCCAGAAATAGTATCATTGAAATATATAGGATAGATAAATAAATTAACTAGAAAATCAATCATATGTTCAAAGGAAGAAAACAAAAGATACATTCTATTAGAAAATTTTTTACTGGGTACAATGACCTTCTCTGGCTACAGTCGTAAAAATATGTACTATTTAATTAAGTAAAACTCACCTATAAATTTCTATAGTTTTGTTCATTTGACACTTGTAAGGATTTGCTTCTTTATCTATTATAAATATTAATGAAGGAATATATATATATATATTTCATAATCTGGCGGCATATGTTTCATATACTATTCAAAACAATAATAATTCAAAGAGTAGGAAAAAAAAATATTTTCTTCAAACATAACACTCAATTTCATCGAACTTTCGTTTATTTGTCCGTTATATGCGTTCGAATAAATATAATTAATAAGAATTAAAATCTTTTTTTTTTTTTGCTTCTACAGAATTTTTCTCATGAAAAATTTATATTGCGACGTTAGATTGCCTATTAAGGTACCATATAGAAAAATATATAGTTTTTATGAAATGAAAATGAATGCACCAAAAAATAATTTATCTATCTATAAGATGAAAAACTACCGCAATTAGACGCTAGAACATGTGTTAAATCGTCACATTTCTATTTTATCATATTACTAAATTCGAATAATGTTTTCTATTTATTTATTCACGCAAACTGACATTCAATTATCAATGTGAAAACATCATAAATTATTTCTACCGTCACTTTATTTACGTTTAATCGATTTCCGCACTTGTTTCTTCTTATTGAAAGTTCTCTAGATGATGTTGATGTCTGTTTTTTTTTTCTTGCTCTTTTTATAGTATCAATATATTACAAACTATTTATATATGTGTAAAAATATGTGTTAAGGGTACGACAACCTGTAATATTTATGCATTAAGAATTACTTATAATAGTTATGATAAAAATAAAAAATATATAAATATTATATTATTCTATTTACTTATTTTATTTTTAAGGTATTTACTGAATTATTATGTCAAAAAAAAGGCAAAATATCTGTATTTTATTGTGGACCACCATCATTATCAGCTGAACTAACAAAAAAATGTCGTCAATATGGATTTGCTTATAAAAAGGAATTATTTTAATTATTACAACAAACAAAAAAAGAATTTCTTTTTTTTTTTTTTTTGCTCATTTTTAAAAAATATCTTCTGTTCAATTGGGGATATCTTTACTTTGTATAGATATTTGAATGACAAGAAATTTATTTCCATTAATGTGTTTTTTTTCTCTACGTAAAAAGAAAAAGTAATAAACGTATAAATCACATTTATCAAAAATGATCTAGTTAACAAGTGATAAAAGTAATGTGACAACTACCAGTTGTCAACAAATGGATGTAGGTGTTTTTTACTAGCTTTCATTTCACATATCAAAAGCATAATCACCTGCAAGATTTGATGTGCATGACATAAGTCCGACGTAATTGACTTCATTTTAAATCTATTTTCAATTTCTATTATTTTGCAGATAACACTCCAAAAGTTCACTACGTGTTTTTTCTTTTTTCTTTTAATAAAAGAGAACTTTTCTATATGATCATGTGTTTCTATGAAAATTTTGTGCACATTATTGGCTAAAATAGTAAATATATACATGAATTTGATATTTAATTCTATGAATAGATACGTTGTTTTTTTGATCTTATTCAATATTTTACGTCATCATATGATATAGAACAAAAAAAAACAAATGAAAGAAAAAAAAATAAGAATTTTAACAAAAAAAAAGACGGAAAGAGTAAAAGAGAGAGAGAGACAGAAAAAGATAGAAAAAAAGAAAAAGAGAAAACATTTATGGTTTAATTGGTTGAATTAGACAGACATTTTCTTGCTCAGAAGATTCAGTGTTTCTCGTTGTTGAATATAGAAATTCATTTATTTCTATTCTTACACATCACATCATACACTTAACAATATATTACAGACAAACCAGTTATTGCACACAGGTATGACAGATAGTCCTTTATTTGTGCAACAAGTTATAAGTTTTGAATAATGTTCTTGAATAAGAAGATTTCCTTTTGTATTTTCTTAATTTATTAATAAGCATTCACATTTTTTTTTTGTTAAATAGAATATAATTATTTCTGAATAATTTCATGTTTTTTTCACGTGTTATGACAATAAAGAAAAAAAAAAACAAAAGAAAATCTATTAACTTCGATGATATAAATATCCTGATTCATTACATAAACAAGAAGTACTCTATGTCAACTTGAAAAATAAAAAACTTCATATATATTCTTCCCTTTTGACATACTTCAGTTGAATGATACTTAAAAAGCAAAAGTTGTTAATTGACTGATCAACATTTATGCTAATAATAGATTTTCTTTTCTTTTAGCCATTTATGACTAACTGAATATAAAATTTGTTTAGAGGTGTGTGTGTGTGTTTATCTTGATTGTGTTTTATTTCAAAGTATTACTAATAAATAGAAGTGTCGCCTACGCATGCTTAGTCACTCAAAATCAATAAAAAAGAAAATGCCGTTGTACTCGTTAAAGTGTATACTTTTTACGTTTTTGAAAAAAAACAAAAAGACAGCCAATCTGAAGAAGATGACATCTGCAAACTTGTTTTTTTACAAAAAAAAAAAATCATTTTTTTCTTCTTCATCATAAAAAGTGTACACTGTAACATGTCGAAATATGCTTTTGTCTGACTAGATGTATATATAATTTTTTTATTATTATTATTATTATTTGATATTTATATTAATATAAAACAAAACTATCAATCATATATATTGTTTTTAGAATGTTGATGTATTCATCATACGTTATTGTTTTATTGAGCATAGTTGGTTTTGTTTTAACTAATCCTGTTAGAAATACATTTTTAAATGAAAAACCTGAAAATCTATCATTAACTCAAGCTTTTAATAAAGCTGAAAAAGCAGTCAAGCGTTATTCGTATTTAATTAATTCTGATACTGATCATCTTGTTCATGGTATATTACATATTTTAATGAAAAATCCAACATTATTTACATTAATTCCACGTCATGCAGTAGATATAATATTTGACAATATTGCCGAAAAATTAGGTTATGATGATGTTGAAACTATAACAACACCTATTTTACTTAGTATTGAACAAAATTATCAAAAAAAAGGTGGACAAACAACACCAATTGAATTAACCGATGAAACAAAAGAAAAAATTGAAGAAGCATTGGACAATTTTTTAGATGGAGAATTTCAGCGTCATTAGTAGTGAACGAAAAAAAAAAACATAATAGAATAAAATATTGTCTATTTGTGTGCGCGCATATGTCAATTTGTTAACTAGAAAAAAAAGAGTAAAAGAAAACACAAAAAAAAAAGAAGCTTATACACAAGAATATCTAATTTTTGTCCTGTATTTATTGCGCTCTTCTAATAATAATAATAATTGTTGGAATAAAAAAATTTTTCTTTTAAAAATGAAATGGTGAAATATTAATTCGCATAATAAATATTGTATGTAAACGACGACGATGATGATGATGATGATGAGATAAATATTTATCATTGAATTCATTATTATATAAATTTATTTCAAATTCATATTCATTTGATTCAATTAATGTTTGATTTGTTTTTAGATTATTACCATCAAGTATAAAAGGAAAAGATACATTCATTGTATTTCTATTAATTATTGTTATTGAACTTTTATTTTGATAAGTTATAGGTAAATAAAATAATGTTCGATTTGATAATGTTAATCGTGATATAGCAATAAATCTATGACGAATATAAATAGCTTGACGAGGACGACATGATGATGAACGTTGATAACATTTTAATAAACAATCACTTTCATTTTGATGAATATAACCAATTGGACATGGAATATCTATACATTCATAAGCACCTTGAGTATTAAAACATATACGATCTTGACCACAATCAATTTGAAATTGACGACATTCATCAATATCTAATAATTATTGTTTTAAAAAAGAAAATATTCATAAAAATAAGAATATTTAAATACAAACCTTGACATTGTCCTAAATTATTTATTTTAAATCCAATTGGACAATAACATCGATAAGATCCTATTTGATTTTCACACATATATTGACAAATATTTGTATTTTCAATACATTCATCAATATCTACATATATAAAAACAATAAAATCAATAAATTTCAAATGTATTATCTTCATAGATTACATTATATTTGAAAGTTTAACATAAATAAGATAGCTATGTAATTTTTTAAAACTATTGGACAAAGGAGAAAAGCACGCACAGGAATGCCTTTCGACCCTTTTTGATTTTCAAAGTTCAAACTAATTCAGTCATCTCTATAGAATGAAAGATCATAAGTTCCTGATTATTTTTGATTCGGTCATAGCTGTAGACAAGCTCGGTCTTCTTGACATAATAAATTGCGTAGTTAGTTAATGATACTAATCAACAATGCGGATATTCATTTGACAGAAAATAAGTAAAGGTAAAGAGTTATTCAAAATTTATTTTTACAGCATTTTGTTTACGCTATATTTTCATAAAAGAATTATTCATTTAAAACAATGTTTTGAATCTACTAGACCATATACAAATCTTTTAATGTTTATGTATAGAGTCTAAAATAGTTATATGCATTCCATTTGTCATTCAATTATTGTATTAATGAAACTTCCTTCTGACGTCATATTCGATAGAGCTTTTCAAACATTACTACTTTTTATAGTCTACAACAATTGACTACATAATAAAATTTCTAGTCCACTATTCCCGGGATCCAATTTATAACTTTTCGACTGATATTCGATGGTTTTCAAATAGAATATTACTCATTTTACTTTAAAAAAATGTTACATTTGAAATTAGTACAAATAAGTTCATTGACCTGTGTATTTGTTTTTCTAATCAAACTTCCACTCGTAAACTTCTCCAGGCATAGCTGAAAAAATTAATTAACTCAAGATAACTGTTTTATATTGTTTAGTCATCTGTAATGTTTTTTTATCCTCAAAAGACATTTTACAGATTTTGAACTTGTTTTTCGCTGTCGCAATGACTTTTTGAGTAGATTAATTTTTTCAGCCATGTCTGGGGAAGTTCACTCGTAAAAACTTGATCATAAAAACAAATATACAGGTCAATGAACTTATTTGTACTAATTTCAAATATAACATTTTTTTTGAAGTAAAATGAGTAATATTCTATTTGAAAACCATCAGAAATCGGTTGAAAAAGTTAAAAATTGAGCCTCAGGACTAATGGACTAGGAATTTTATTATATGATTCATTGTTTTAGACTATAAAAAGCAGTAATCTTTGAAAAAGCTTTATCAATTACGAAGCGAACAGGAAGTTTCATTAACATAATAATTGAACGACAAATGGGATGCATATAACTATTTCAAACTCAATACATAAACAATAGAAGATTTATATATGGTCTAGTAGATTCAAAACATTATTTCAAATGAATGATTCTTTTATGAAAATGTAGCGTAAACAAAATGTTGTAAAAACAAATTTTGAATAGTTCTTTACCTTTACTTATTTCCTATCAAATGAATATCCGCATTGTTGATTAGTATCAATAACTAACTACGCAATTTATTATGTCATGAAGACCGCGCTTGTTTACAGCTATGATCGAATCAAAATAATAATGAATTCATAATCTTTCATTCTATAGAGATGGTTGAATTAGTTTGTACTCTGAGAATCAAAAAGAATCGAAATAAACTCTTGTGTGCTCCCAGTTCTTTAACTCAATAATTCTAGAATAACAAAAACCTTCTATTAATATATTTTTTTTCTTAGGCGTTTTCTTTTATGTATTTTAATTGCAATGATATTAAATATATGTTAAAAATTTGTATCTTAATATCCATAAGATTTTAACTAGGATAGCATAGATTTATTTTTGAAATAAGAAATAATATATAGTAGAAGCTCATAAATACCTTCACATAATCCAGATTCAAAATTTCTTCGATATCCTTTTTCGCATTCATCAGATTGACAGTTATTGCACTCTATAAAAGAAAAATATGTTGTCAATATATCTCAATCAAATGTTTAATACCATGACAAAATTTGTCTTTACGTTCGAAACCATTGGGACATATCGAACTTTCATTGAATTCTAATATTGATTCAATAGACCATTCAAGTTTTTCTTCATCTTCATTATAAATTGGTACTAATATTTTAAATGAAAATATTATTAATTAATAAATTTAATAAACAAGTTGTCTTACATGTATACAATTTTTTGAGATGATATACAGGAGCATGAATAATTTTAAAATATTCTTTGTTTGGTTTACATTGAATTGTTTGAGTATAGTTAAAGAATAATTTTTGTTTTCCAATTAGAAAACCACTTGCAAATGTACGAAAATGACCTAAATAAAAACAAAATTCATAAATATTTTGTTTTTCAATTATTCTTATTAGAAATTAGTATTTAAATATATAATAAACTAATTATTTTTTTTTTTATCATAAATTATAATAACATAAAGTAACTTATTTTATGTCTTTTGTATAACTTCTATTGAATCAAATATAATTACATGAAAACTATAGAAAAATTTATATTACGTTAATTTTCTTCAATATTTTCAGATTCATTTTCATCTTCTATTTTAATGAATCATCCTTTTTTTTTTAATCTATCTCTTAATAATAATTTTTTTCATATATATTTAAGCAAGATTGTATTATTACTCGTATGTTTTTTTTTGTCACAAACTTAGAAGTAATATATTAATATTGAAGCATGGTCAATTTTAATAGAATAAATTATTAATGCAAAACAAAAAAACAAGAAGAAATGACTAGTCTAGTGTCAAAAATCATTAGAATGTCCATTAATATAAGAAAATCAAAAATTTTAATGTAAAATCTAGAAAACAAATCTAATGCATCAACTTGAAAGTTGTTTACAGTCACAATAATCTGTCTGAATTTGTAATAAATCAGAAAACTTCAATAAGCATCAAACAAGATATTTTTAAATGCTTTTCAATTATAGTAGAAGATATAAAGAATTGAACATCATTTAAATTGTATAGTTGATATACTTTGTTAAATGTTTTCCTTAGAGAACAAAAAAATGCATTTTAACTTTAGACATATGAAAGATAAATGATGTTTGCTGTTAATATATATCATTCAAAATCAAAAAATGACTTTTATGACAAGCATATGTCAATGAAAATCATTGAATTAGTTTTTCTGATTGGATCAGAACGTTCTGTTCTAAGTCATCATGATGATAATCAATAGAGACTGGAGCCTTTCTAAATCAAATATACAACAATAAATATCAGATTGCATTTGTTTTTTTTTTGCTATATTAATATTAAATCGGATATATATATAGAATAGATAACAAAATTATTCCACAACATTGATTCTTAGTTTTTTGTTCCGCTGCTATAAGCATGAGAAAGGATCGAAATAGAGAAAGTATTTTCGAACAAAAATAAAAGTTATTATTATTAGATTTCCAAAGATAAGAATTTCAGAAAACCAAGATTCGAGTTTTTCAACACTTAGAACATGTAAATATAATTTTGTTTAGACTGCATAGAACGATAGAGTACACCATTCTCTAAAAAATGAGATGCCTTCGAGTTCTCTGAGACGTTTTTTTTGGCTGAGATACAGCAGTTTGATTGATTAAGATTGCTATATTTCAGCTAGAAAACGTCACAGAGTACTTGAAGGCGTCTCATTTTATACATAATTATTTATTCTATCGTTTTATATGATCTAAATAAAACTATATTTAAATATTCTAGGTGTTAAAAAGATTAGTCTTTTAATTTTCTGAACGCTATTTAAAACTTTTTCTAGCGCTTACAGGTAACGGGAAAATAAACTTTGTTAAATAATTTTTGGTATCTACTATTTATATGATTTCTATATATTTACATTTAGTGATAACAAAGTTAATACTTGAAAATTTCTTCAAAGTGTTAGTATATAATAAAATTAAAAATCCTATTTGATAATATCAACAGTAAATTGAAATAATACGACTTGTTATTGAACATCGTAAAAACTTTGTTAAATAATAAGATATGAATGTATTCAAAAATTTTAAAATTTCTTTTTTAAACATTCATAATCATCAAAGAGAGAAGCTTTTTGTTAAGTAATCTATTATTCTAAATGAAAGAACAAGTAACAAATAGATTCCGTGCTTCTCATAAAAAGAAAAAAAAAAACAACTTTGAAAAACATCCGATTGTCCTTCACATAGGAAAATTAGGAATCTTTTCAGATCTAAGCATACAATTAATATGTTAGTTAGACTTTATTTATTGTATTTTTTTGTAAAACAAAATGGTTTTTTTTTGCTTCTATCAGACGATCAAGCACAAAATGCATCAAAGAGAATAGCTTTTATCATCTCACTAAATGAATGCATTTCATATATTATGTAGTTTTGATTATCTGCTTATAAATTAATAAACTTTGTAAAATCCATTCTTAGAAGATATACAAACAAAAAAAGAAATTATTATTAATAGAAAATTTCGACAACAAATCTAGATTAACCGAGAATATAAATATTGCTATTTTTGACCTATTTCATTATCGAATAGATTCATTCATCTTAGTTTTTTTTCTATTAGACATCAAGTGAATTATTTATAATATTGAACAAAGAAAATAATAATAAGATTCATAATGAAACAAATAATATTTCATATAGACTTGTGTGTTCTTCGAAAAGACAACAAGATTAATTCAAACTTCATTATATCATATTATCAATTTGTAAATAAACTAAGATGAATCGTATCTCATATTAAATTAGATTTATTATAAATCTATATTAAAAATCGAGATTTTGTACTAGATGAAAATCTTTCTGATTTTGTTAGTATCATCAAGTGAGAAAAAAAATTTAATTCAATTAAAGTCAAAATTTATATTATCAACAGACTGTTATAGGATAATTAAGTGTTATTTTAATATATACAGATCAGGAAATTATAATTAAAAATCATGCATTTAAATTTATCAGAATTTAAATATAATTGAAATCCAAAAAGAAAAGAATAGTTTGAAAAACTCATTACGAATCAATATCAATGAAATTATATATTAATTTAATTGATAGAAAATTGATATATATATATTGTTTTTGATTTTTCATAAAGAGAAAATATATCTGTGTAAGCATCTACTAACAACAATAGCAGCAACAACAACATAGAACATAAAAACGAGAAGAAAATAACGTACAAGAAAATTGTTTTAACAATTTTCTTTAAATAATCTTGGTCGTTTATTTGACCATATAGGAACAAATTGAAAACGTAAACGAAAATGATGATTTTTTGTATGAGAAAATTCTTTCATACTCAAATTTTGTCGTTGCTGTTGTAATTCTTGTTGATTTATTAAATCATTTGAAATTGATAAATTATCACCTGATAATGGTTCATGTATTGATGAATCTGTATTTTTTACTAATATTTGATGTGATGGTCGTTGATATGATTCATTTTTACATAATAATTTTGAATTAAAATGACACCAACATGGAAAATATTTTTTTATTAAATTTGGTAAATGTGTTAATAATAAACTATCACCAAAACGTCCAAATAAAAATAAAAATCGACATATTGTTAATATTAATTCATTATGTTCAAATAGTATATTATTTGATAAATTATCTTTAATAATATATTCATAAAATTGTTTTAAATGAAATAACATTTGAATCATATGTTGTGGAAATGTACATAAAACATATTTAAGAAGAAATAATAATAATAAACGATAACATAAATGACAAGATGAACGTTGTCGTTTTAATTTAATTAATGTTGTTTGTAAAAATAAATCATTTGTTGAATTTTGTCTTATATCCATTTGTTGTTCTTGAGAAAAATCTTGTTGTGAATGATTACATTTATTTAAATGAAAATTTCGATTTGTTTGACCTGGATAAGATGCACGTAAACGTGAATGATAATCATTTATCATTGGAATATTTTCATAAGATATTGTTGAATATTTTCTTTTATCATCTAATCGTGTTAATGATGGAAGTGTACTTGATCCTCGATGAGCACCAAAGAATTGTGAATGTAAACTTGTATATGGATCGGTATCTTGAAATATATTTCGATTTTGTTGTAAAAATTTTGTATAACATTTAGTACATGTACTTTTTTCAACTGTTGAACGTATATTATTTGTTAGCTGCTGTTGTTGAAGTTGACTATCAAATAATATATCATGTTCTATTAAAATATTATTTTTATATAGATTAATAATACAACAAACAATAATAAATATGAAAATAATAAAATCAATTAATGGTAATAATATCATATTCAATGTAATTAATGGGAGTAATTTTATTGTTTGTGAATGTTTTGGTGTATAAAATATATAATTATAACCAAATATAAGAGCTAATGAACCACTTAAAATTAAAGCAACATTTGTATGTTTTGTAATTAAAAGATTTTTTCCATTATATGCATTTAATGTATATTTGTTTTTAATTAAACGATAATAACGAATAAAATATTGTAAAATACTTATTGATATAATAAATAAATGAAATGTACTGAAATTAATTAATATTTGTTGTACAAGTGTTAATGGTAAAGAATAAAATGTTATAGATGAATAATGTAAAAGATTTGGATGATAGTGTTTTATAATTAAAATTATAAAATAGACAAGTGAAAGACAAACATTAGAAAATGAATATGCACGTATCCAATTACGATGCAAACAATTATAGAGTACAGATTTTGATGGAAAAATAATTGAACGATGTTGTTGAGATTGTTGTTGAGATTGTTGTTGTTGTTGTTGTGGATCACTATGAGAAATGAATAGAGGGAAATTATTGGAAATGGTTTGTTTTTTTGGAAAAAATATATATATATATATATTTATATCCTACTTAGTATTAAATAAAGGTTGTTTTGATAATTTTTTTTGATATGTTAATATAAATATAATTAAATTTTCCATAAGAATAAAATAAAGTAAACAAATTTCAATCATTTGTAAATAAGAAAATCTTTTACGTTGTTGTTGTGGACGTAAAATTCGTTGATGTGATGTTCCAAATTGAGAATATAAAAATTTTTGTTGAAATTGTTGAAACCATAGAGATCCATTTAATAATTTTATTGTTGTATCGTTATTATTTATTGTTAGATTCATTTTCTTTTTCTTTTTCTTTTTTGTAAATCACTTATTAAAGTCGAAGATTATTTTTAAAGTTTTCTTTCTTTTCTTTTTTGATGTTAAATAAAATTAAGAAAAACGTATTTGTAACATACGTAACTCAGAAAAAAAAAACAAGAATTATATTTTAATCTAGAGAATGTATAAGGAAAAAAAATTAGATGAGATTATTGAAGATATAAAAAAAGAAATGAGTTTTTTTTTTATTATTATTAAGTTTTCTTATTTTATTTTCAAAACGACAAAAAAAAAGAAACCGAATTATATACGAATGTTTATAATTATGTAGTTAATTTCTTCCAGTGTATTTATCAATATATATTATTCACAGTTTACTAATTCTTTTCTTCTTTTTTCTTTTACGGTCTTTAAATTTACTCATCAACACTATGTTTATCCATTACGATCATTAAAAAAGAACGCGATATGTCGTTGAAAAGACAAAAGACAACAAAAATTCCCTGAAGACAAATGAATGAGAGGATGTGTATGTTCAAGTCAAAAAACAAAAAGAAAGAAAATTCATCTGTGATGTGATCCAGCTAAGGAAGAAAAACTATATATATATAGGACAAATGCGAATAATTGCACGGATGGTGTTGTTGACAAGGCGTTAATTTGAATAAAGATATGCATCTTTATGTAAGTAAGTAAGAAAAAACCAGAAGCAAAAAGAAAAAAAGAAAGAAAATCGACATGAAAGCAAATGAAAGTGACGAGATGACAGATGTGTATTGACATCAGACGTTTCCTCTATTTATCAGTCTTTTTCCTTTCCGTGACCTTTAAAAAAGAAAAAAAATAACTTCAAAACAGAAACCATTAAATAATAAAGACGGAAATCTATTACTGTTATGAAGACTATATTAACGAAAAAAACAAACAAACAAACATAATGTTATGTTAGTAATCTAAAATTATCGATAAATTCTACCATTTATGTAACATACCTAAATCGGTTTGAATCATTGTTTCTGTAAAAAATGTATTATTTTTAAACTCATAATCATCCGGATATGAACCATTGAATTCAATTCGATTATCAGAAACTCTCTCAACTATTTTAATATGTGAACCTAAAAAAAAAAAATAAGGATAAGATTTGCATATTGAAAATAAATATGTGACAAAGAATTTGATTATTTGTATAAATTTTACCATCAATAAATGAAATAATCATATTACGTTGAAATTTATCATCAATTGAACAAAGCGAAGATGAAATATTTCCAAAAATTTCCGTAGTTGTTAAAGAAATAAGAGATGGTGGAAAAAGAAAAATAAAAAGTGTTCGAAATAATGATGTAAGATTTGATTGTACTTTATTTAATGTTGTTTTTTTTAAAATTATATTTGAATAAAGTTCAATATTATCAATATGAATTTGTTTTAATTCACCTTGAAGATGACGAATAGATGTTATTAATGGAACTATAAAAGAGAATTGTAGGGAAAAAAAAAATGAAAATAAAAACAATAGACAGATTTTAGCGGTCAACCGGAAAAGAAGATCTTATTTCTTTGTCTTCTTCTATATATTTTTTTTTATTCTTCTTTTGACTGCAGATTTATTCTCTGTGCTAAATCAGTTTTCTTCCTCTTCTTCTTCTTTTTCTTTTTTTTTTTTTTTTTTTTTTATCATGCTAGATCATATCGCATTCGAGCTCTTTTCTTCATCTTCTTTTTTTTTTTTATTCTATATTGAATGGAATGACGATGTTCTTATTCGAGATTGATTTACTTCTGAGAACGAATAGCATCCTTTTTGCTCTTCTTAGAGGCCAAGTAGTAGAATTTTCTCGATCATTATTCTTTTCTTTTGACCATATTCTTCTCTTCAACTATTCATTTCGATAATGTGACGATAAAGAATCTCTTTTTCTCTTTTTCTCATTTCTTTTCACTATCATTACAATATGAAATCATTTTTCAACTGTTTGACAGCTAACATATGAAAACAAAAAAAAAAATACTGACACACATATATATCACATGTAAATATATTAATAGTTGTAAAAAAAAAAATAATCAAACAAGTTAGATAGAAAAGTATTCATAATGTACTTTCTTTATGAAAAACTTTAGTTTTTCTATTACTTTAGGCATGTCTATTCATGGATAAAGAATGAAGTTAGATACTTGTTCAAATTAAGTATACTCATATGCTGACATGCAATATCGTTATTATTGTGTGAACTCTCAAAAGGAATTAGAATTATTTTCTTTTTTTTTGTATAGAAATACTTATTCGCACATTAAACAATGAATACTTGATGAATTAAGATTTAATCTCATATAAAATAAAGTTAAATAAAACAATCATAATTTTGCTTTTTTTTATGATTAAAAAAAAATTTTTTTTTTTGTCCTATTAATCATATAAATAATAATCATTCTAATATAATTTATTCATTATTTATGCATAAATGAAAATTTTACATACATAGAAAGTTGGATTTTGTATAAAAAAATATGAATCAAGAGTTATCAAAAATTAATAAAAAAAAAACCTTCATTTACCTTCATAGACAATAACATCACATGTTGTTGTTGCAGTACCAAGTGCATTTTCAGCTGAACATGCATAAAGTCCAGTATCTGATATTTGTATTGGATCAATTCTAGAAACAAAAGAAAACAAAAAATTATTTTTCATATTTTGTTCTTTTTATTACTTCAATGAATTATTAGGTAAGATTTGTATTCGAACATCATCATGTCCTGTTAGAATAGTTCCATTTTTTGTCCATCTTAATGTTGGTTCAGGCCATGCATCGGCAAGACAATTGAGCATAAGCATTGAACCATTAATAGGTCTTTGTGTCGATCGAGGCAATTTAATTGTAAATGTAGGTTGAGCTAAACATTAAGCAAATAAAACACATACACATGCATAAATCGGAAATGATGAATGCATTCGAAAAGAAAAAAGAAAAGGACGGGAAATACAAAATAAATGTAAAATGCGTGCATATATATTTTACTTAGAATATTAACTGAATGATAGGATTCCGAACGAGTACCATTATCATTTCGAAATACACATTTATAAACACCTGAATCCGAACCCTATATATAGATAATATAAACGAAAAAAAAAAAACAAAATAAAATTTTAAATAAAATAAGAAAAAACTTTTTATAATAGAATATTTTTTACTGATGTTTGATCAATAACTAATGTACCATTTCGATAATCAATTCTATTATGTTTTAATGAATTTAATTTTAATGGTGATCCATTATGAAACCATTCAATTATACCAAGAAAATTTTCATTTTCACCTACTTCAATTTCACATGAAAGTATTAAACGATGACCTGATATTATTGCACGATCTTGACTATTTGGATGAGCTAAATATTCAAAACAAAAAAAAATTTATATTCTCATATAAATCTTTAAAACAAACAAAACTTACGACGAACAATAACTGTTACAGGCATTGATATAATAAATTGTTGATTCAAAGAATTATTTGAAAAACATTGATAAGTTCCTGTATGTTTATCAATAGCTTTATTTATTTGAAGAATATTTCTATCATAAAAATTCGTTAAATATTCATTATTATTATTATTATCTATTATATGACCATTATGTAACCATTGAATATTAAATGGATTAATTGAATTTGTTTGACAGATTAATTCTAATTGTTCACCATAATCAATAATTAAATTATTTGGTGATATTATAAGAAAAGGTATTTGTTCTAAAATAAAAAAGAAATTTTCAGATCTTTTCTCAGCAAAAAGAAATTTATTTACTTGGAAGAATTTCATATCCAGCTGTTGTTGTTGTTATTTGAGAATCAAGAATAATTAAAGTAAATTGTTTTGATGTTTGACCAATTGTATTTTCTGCATAACACATCATATCACCAGCATGCTGTTTTCTTTTAAATATCAGATAATTTAAACTTCTTTTTTATTAATTTTAACTATGAACTTACTCAAGTTGATTTATATATAAATTTCCAAATGAATCAATAATAGCTGTTCCTGTGATATTATATATACCATGCCAAGTTATAGTTGGAATAGGAATACCATTAGCTTGACAAGATAATTTTATAGATTGACCAACAATACCTGTATAATATCTTTCAATTTGATTAATCGATGGTGGAACTAAACAACAAAAAAATAAGTATTAATTATTTCTAAAATATATAATTAATAAAATACCTTGAACTTCTAAACGAATTTGTGCATGAGTACGTTGAACAAGATTTTCTGCCCAACACATATAATAACCTGTATCTTGTACTTGTAAATGATGAATTCTCAATGAGCCATTATTTAAAATTTGAAAGCCTATTGAACAAAAAAAAAAAAAAGATTCATGCTATGAAACCAAGGAAAAGTAATTTATATAATGGTTTGTATTATTGTATGTGCTTTATTCTTTATCTTTTTTTCTTTAACATACAATATAAAACTACTGTCATAATATGTCGATCTGGAAATTTCATTGATGAAAGCGTTCTATAATGAAATTTTTATTCGATAGAAAATTTTCTCTTCTTTCGGACAGCAACCGGTGAATTTTAATTATAGACTATTAATAAAAAGAAAAAAAGAACGACACAAGAAGAAAATAATAAAAAATGAGAAACATGCACACATTAAAAACTGCATTTTTTTTTTGCAGACCATAATTAAAATTTGATTGTTGCATAAAACTCGTCAGATAAAAAAAGAATTTGAAAGGCACAATAATTAAGTATCATCTTACATAATTTTGTTTTTCTTCTTTTGTTTCAGATCATTTAACTTATGCAAATGTATCAGAATGAAATTATTTACAGTTCGAAAGGACAATGTATAACATTTCATGTGTTAATTCATTTTCTTTTTGTTTTTTTACACTATTTTGTTTAAGTATGTGAGAGAAAAAAATTTCACAGAGAAAAATATATTTTCTTTCCAGAAGACTTGTAGTATTGTAAAGATATATAGGTTAACATGATGTGATATTATTTTATTTACCTGGTTGAGTATCAATTGAATGACCTGCTTTCGTCCAATATATGATCGGTAATGGATATCCATCAGCATGACAATTAAGTGTAATAGGTTTGTTAACAATTCCAATGATTTCATTGTTCTCTACTGTGACTATTGGTGGAACTAATATAGGAGAAAAACAAATATTAAATGTAAAGTCAGACAGTATAATAGAAAGAAAAATAAAAATGCGAAATAAGACGGAAGTAATGTTAAAAAGAAGTAGAAAAAAAAAAAGATGTGATAATGAGGAAATATTTAATAATATTTACCATTTATATCTAAATGAAGATCAATAGAATCTTGTCCAGCTTCATTTATTATCATACATTGATATTTACCATTATCATATCTTGATGTATGAAGAAGAAGTAAACTGTTTGATGATGATATTATATATTTTAAATCAATATTTCCTTCAGATACTTTTAATTCGACATCATTATGAAACCATCTAAAAGAAAAGTATCGTTTTGTTTTGTTTTTTTCAAACAAGATTTTTATTGTACTTGACAATTGGTATTGGATGACCTTGTATTACATGACAAGGAAGTTCGACAGGCTTTGGAGCTATGACAAGAAATGATGTATTTTCTCGTTGAATTCGTGGAGGAACTATAAGTAAAGAGAAAATTTTCAATTCTTTTTTTTTGTGCTCAAAAATAAAATTTTAAAAATTTCTATTTTCAATACCTAATACTGTTAAACGAAATTGTTCTTTTGCTTCACCAGCTTTACTATACGCAAGACAAGTATAAATTCCTGCTTGAGATGGATCAGCTTGAATAATAAGTAATTGAAAACCAGATGGTCCAATTCTATAAAATCAATAAAATATTACCAAAAAAAAATTTTTCTATCGATTTTTTTTTACCTATATCGTGAATTTGTTGTATCAATAGGAAGACCATCTTTTTCCCATGATACAGAAGGTAATGGATCACCTAAAAAAACAAATAGAACAATAATTTCATAAAAGAAAATATTCAAATTTTAACCATTTGCTGTACAAGTTAAAGTAATATGATAATATTGAATAACATTTACATTATCTTCATTTGGATCACGTTGTATAGTTGGTGGAACTAAATTTAATAAAAAAAAAAAAAAATTTATTCAATATAATTAAAATAATAAATTAATAATTATATTACCAAATATTTGTAAATCAATATGATTTGAAAGTTCACCAGCAATATTTGTTCCAATACATGTATAACGTGCATTATCATTTAAATTAACTAAATTTATACTTAATACTCGATTTTTATCAATTAATTCATATCGATCTAAATTATTATTCAAAGAAAAATCTTCTTTTTTTTTTTTTGTCTTTTGGGTTGTAAAATTTACCATTATTTTTATTTAAATCTCGTCCATTTATAAACCACATTATATGAGGTTCAGGTTTTCCATACATTGGACATTCAAGACGAGCTGTTTGATTAAATTTAACTTGATAAATTTCAACTAAATTCGATCGATCAATTGTTGGTGGTACTTAAATATATATTCAATATAGAATTTTTTCTAATAAAATATTTTTTTTTTCTTACTAAAAACATCTAATAGATATGTTAAATTTACTTGACCAGCAATATTTGACATTTGACATGTATAAAAACCTGCATCTGATGAATGTGCTGAATCAATTTGTAATCTAGCACCATTTTCTAATAATCTATAGATAGAATTGAAACTTTAAAAAAAAAAAAATACAATTGATTATTAATCAACCTTGCATATGAATGAGATTCTAATAGATTTTTTTCATCTTTGAACCATCGATAATTTATTTCTGGTACACCAAATCCATGACATGATAAAATAATATTTTTTCCAAGTACAACATATGGATTTAAATTAATATTTGTTTGATGAATTTCTGGTGGTACTAAAAAGAAAAAAAAACCAATCAAATTTCATTTTATTTTGATTTTAATTATTTTTACCATAGACTTGTATATCGAATATTTGTTGTGAACGACCAGCTAAATTTTCTGCTTGACATTGATAACGACCACGATCATTTAATGATATATTTTCAATATGTAATTGAAAATTATTATCATTCATTGAAATTCTTAAAATCAAAATAAAATGTTTTTTTTTTATAAAATATTATTAATTGTTTAAACCTTTCAGAATCAAATAATATTTGTTCATTTTTTGTCCAAATAATAATTGGTAAAGGATTAGCATGAAGTAAACAAGTTAAAATACGAGATTCTCCTTTTAATATTGTTATTTCATTTATTAATTGACCATTATTAACAATCGATGGTGGTACTAGAAGAAAAAAGAAATAGAATATTTTTATTATTTAATATATATATATACAAAAATAAACTCTTCAAAACATACATAATACATCAATATGTATATTTTTTTTTGTACTACCAATTTTATTTTCAGCTATACATGTATATAAACCAGTATCATTTAATGATGCACGAATTATTTGATAATATCGATTATGTCCTGATGATAATCGACGGCTATAAAAACAAAAATAATAAGAAGAAGAGTTGATTATTTTTATTATTTATTAAATTACTTTTTAAAATGCCAGGAAATTATTGGTTCAGGTGTACCATTAGCAATACATTCTAAAGTAAAATGATTACCAGCTATTGGTGTTGATATTGGACTTATTGATATTGAATTGATTGATGGAGGAACTAAATATATATATAATTAAAAATATTATATTTTTAATGAATATCTAACAAGAGAAAACATGAGTAATCATTGGAAGCTATTTGATTTTATATTCTGATTAGATTTCTATCAAACTGAGAGAGAGAGAGAGAAGGAGATCTCAAAAGATTTCTAGTTCATAATATGCTATATTTTTGTTGTTAATATGGAATCTTTGACATTCTATTTATGTGTATTCTAGATCTTTGTTCCGGATAGTAAGAAAAAGAAAAATGGAAAACATGACATTTTCTTGTTTCTTTTTACCAGAGGACTCGTCTATTATATATATGTCTAGAAATAACATAGGTTCGAAACCTTAGATTATTCTTAGTTTTCTACCGATCAATTTGTACTTAGAAAATAAAGTCAACATATTCCAATGACTAGAAATATTATTTCATAATAAAATGAAGATAATTCAATTTTTCAGAAAATATTTAGAATATAATAAATATGACATAGTTATAAGGAGTTTAATTGAATCATCTAACATTTACTTTATTTCATAATATGCATTCCTTATATATCAAGCGAGAGAAAAAAATGCGAAGAAAGTCGAGACAGAATAACAAGACCGGAGGGTACGATTATTTAGACATGAGAAGACAAGAAGTCAATGATAAATCCATTAGAGATATATAGTTATGGAAGAAAAAAAGAAAGACTCAAAGGGTAACAAGGACAGGTTAAAATGCCCTACATAAATAATCAATAAAATCAAAGAGCAAAAGCAGACAACAACATGATAAAAACTCAACTGGGAGCATCCTAATATTAAATGTCTATCTGAATGAAAAAGAAAAGAATAATAGAGAAGGACGAGTGGCGTTAAGAACACTTCTCCATTCCAAAATGTTTGCAAGAAATAACTTTATGAGGGTTCCAAGGTCGATATGAGCTAGTAACCTAGGTTGATCATTTTTCTTGAACTTGCTATTTTTTCTTTTTTACTGTACCAGAAATGTACGTTCCAAATCGAGTTTTTGATCTCGTTCCAACATAGGTTAACTATTAAAAGTTTCAAGCTTTATCAGAATTCTAATGAATTAAGATCACCAAGAGTATTCGGTTCTTTTTAATGGTGAATACAGGCAGAATGAGGGTAGAATAAGCAAAAGCATTTTTCGACTAAGAGTTTCTAGTGCACTGTAAACTTTTGAGTTTAAGTAAGACTATGTTAGTTAGATGTAGTTTTTCATGTTCTATCTGAATATACCATTGAATTGATCAATAAATGCCAGCATTAGATCGAAAATTGCAATATACGAACAAAAATACTCTTTTTTTTTTCTTGATTGTTCATCGACATTGTCGTCTTTCTGATGGATGTCACTCAAGATTTTGTACCTTCTATCTATATCTATTCATTAACGATGAAATTTTTCTATTATGACATCATGTTTATTTCCTTTAACATCAATAAAATTCTTATCTACATTGTATAAAAACAATTCATATTCATTTGTCGTACCTAGAAGATTAATACGATAGTGTTGTTCTGCAGTTCCTGCTTCATTTGAAGCAATACATGTATAAAATATTCGAATATCATTCTGTATAGATGGAAGTACAATAGATAAATAATGATGACCATATTGTATATGACGACCTTCTTTAAACCATACAATCTATAAAAAAAAAAAGAAATTTTATTTATTAACTAAATATTAATTTATCTTTACTGTCGGTTTTGGATTTCCATATGCTGAACATGTTAAATTTATAGTTGAATTAAAAATAGTTTCAATATTTGTAATATCATTTTCAAATCGTGGTGGAACTAAAGAAAAATATTTTATAATATAAAATTGTTTCGATAATAAAAAAAAAAAAAAAAAAAAAACTTAATACCTAAAACTTGTAAGTCAAGATTTTGTTTAGCTGTTCCAGCTAAATTTTCAGCTAAACATGTATAAATTCCTGCATCTTGTTCATTGATATTTCGAATTTCAAGATATTGATCATCACGAAATAATTGAATACGTTTATTCTAAAATCAAAAAAAAAAAACGTTCTTTTGTTATTCAAAAATAAAATTCAATAATTTTACATCAATAGAAAATTTCTTTCCATTTTTTAACCATTTTATTATTGGTTTTGGTATACCTTTAACTAAACATGGTAATGTATAAGTACGATTAATTTGAATTTTATGACGATTTGTTGTTACATAATCAAATGTTGGTGGTAAAAATATATCAACAAAAAAATGTTTTTCACTTTTACCAATTGAATTTGTTGCTACACATGTAAATGTTCCACCATCATGTTCATCATTAATAAAAATTTGTAAAATTTCAGAATAATTATTTTTTATTCTAGAAACAAAAAAAATTCGTTTGTTTGTTTTTTTATATTACAAGAAAACAATTAAATATATACATGAAATATTTATTTAAATCAATTGGATGTCCGTTTTTACGCCATAGAATATGAGCTGGTGGATGTGCAAATGTTTGACATATTAATTGAACTGTATTATTATTTTCAACTTGTAATAATTCTTCTCCTTCATCATTTAATATTTCAGGTGGTACTAAAATAAAATAAAAAACATGAAAGTATTTTATTGTTTGTTTGTAAATACCAAGAATTTCAAGATGAAATTCAAGTGAATCAAAACCATATTCATTAGCAACAATACATTTCCATATTTGACCATCTTCTAATTGTACATTTGATATTATTAATTGATTTTCATTTAATTTTAATGAACGACGAATTAATTCATGTTCAGGTTTGAAAGAAGGAGGAATCCATGTTGTATTAGTTATTACTATTAATGAAGTTCGTTCCGTTGTATAAGGACATGAAAGTGTTATTGAAGAACCTCGAACTACACTTGGACGAATATTTATATGACTACGTAAAATTTCCGGTGGTCCTATTGTTAATAAAAAAAAACAATTATTATTATCATTTAAAGTTTTTGTTTTTCTATTCACCAGACACAATTATATTAAAATATCGTCGATCTGTTCCAAAATTATTCGAAACAATACATGAATAAAGTCCAGCATCTTGTCTATCAATTGATTTTATAAATAAATTTTTATCAAATCCATATAATTCTATTTCATTTTTATACCTATATGACAATTCGAAATAAATATCTATAAGAAATTTTTTTGAATATAATTCCTAACCAACGAATTATTGGTATTGGATATCCATATGCTGGACATTTAAGTGTTAAACTTTCATTACGACGAATAATAATACGAATTGTTTCATTATTTAAATTAATTAATGGTAATGCTAAGAAAGTAAAAAATAAAACTCAATATTTAATAAAAAAAAAAAAAAGGTCTTTTTTGTACCATATGTTTCCAATATAAATTTTTTACGAATTTCTCCTCCTTTATTCATTGCTGTACATTCATATATACCTGTATCATTAATCTAAATAAATAATAATAAAAAGAATTTCTATTAAAAATAAAACTAATTATTTAACTTGAACATATTCAATAATGAATTCTTCTTGTTTATTTTCTAATAATAAATTTGTATTATAAAACCAATTAATTAATGGTTTTGGAAAACCATAAGTTGAACAAGGTAATATAACTGTTGAATTAATTAATGCTTGTACTTTAACTTGTGTTAATGAATCATTAAATATAGGAGGAACTAAAATTATTTCAATGAAAAAAAAAAAAAAAAAACTTAAAAATATGTCAATTCAATTTACTTGATACATCAATATCAAAATATTTTTCAGCACGACCAGCTGAATTTTCAGCTAGACATATATAACGACCAGTATCATTTAATGTTAAATGTTCAATTTCAATATAAAGACCATCATAAACAAATCTTTAAATATATATATTTGTACAGGGCTTGTCAAAATTATAGGTCCCCTTTGTCATCGGATTTTTTCTATGAAAACGAGCCACTGAATCAAATGTAAATAGTGATTTCGATAGCTCTCGAAATCGTCTATCGATTGCAGTATATTGGAAAATTTCAAAGATGACTTCACCAGCAGATTTTTTCGAAAATGCGTGAGACACCGTTTTTGACTTTTGAAACTGATTATCAGACATCATTTTCAATGCATCCATCTGATAGAGCTGAAAATTCTGAACAAAATGAGTGGTCGCACGACTTTCCAGTGAGGAATTATAAGTATATTAAAAGTAAAAAAAACGTGTTTTTGGTCGATTTTCCACAATTTTTAATGTTTTTCGTGATTTTTGCGACTTTTGACATACCTATAATTTCTCACTGGAAAGTCGTGGAGAGTCGTGCGACCACTCATTTTGTTCAGAATTTTCAGCTCTATCAGATGGATGCATTGAAAATGATGTCTGATAATCCGTTTCAAAAGTCAAAAACAGTGTCTCACGCATTTTCGAAAAAATCTGCTGGCGAAGTCATCTTTGAAATTTTTCAATATACTGCAATCGATAGAGAACTTCGAGAGCTATCGAAATCACTACTTACATTTGATTCAGCAGCCTATTTTCATAGTAAAAATCCGATGATAAAGGGGGGCCTATAATTTTGACAAGTCCTGTAAAAAATTTTATTTTATTTACCGAATACGTGGTAAATCAATAGTATTTTTTCTATTAAAAAACCATCGTCGTATAGGCATTGGTTTTCCTTCTACAGAACATGGTAAACGTAAATGTTCTCCATGTTTATATGATTGTTTGGTTGCAAATATTCCATTATTTTCTTCACTAAATTTTGGAGGAACTAATTAATTAAAATTAAGAACAAAATTTATTGTTATATGATTAAAATCTTCTTACTCATAACATCAACATCATATATAATATCAATTGATCCAACAATATTTGTTGCTTGACAAACATATCGACCTTCATCTTGAGACTAGGGGGAGATTCAAAAAAAGAAAATTTTAATTTTTATGAAAATATTTATTATTATTGATTTTGTACTTTAATTTTATTAATAATAAATTTTTTTCCATTTTGTTTAATAAAATAATGTTTTTTATTTGATTGAATTTCATTTCCATTATAAAACCAACGTAATTTTGGTTCAGGTAAACCAATAGCTGGACATAATAATGTTAATGTATGATTTAATATAATTGATTTTTGTTGAAGACGAGTTAAATTTTCTGATTTATATTCAAAATATGGTGGTACTATATTTTTTTTTTAAATTAAATAAATAGAATAAAACAAAAAAAAAGAAGACTTTATTACCATGAACAGATATATTAAATATTCGATATGTTGTACCAGCTTTATTTGTTGCTATACATCGATAAATACCTTCATCAGTTTGTTTTATATTTGTTAATATATATTGATCATTTGAATTAAATGATTGAAGTTGTTTATTATTTTTATACCATTTTATTGTTGGACTTGGTGTACCAATAATAGGACAAATTAATGTTATTGTTTTACCAATTTTAGTTTGTACAATCATTTCTTTTTCAGCATCAATAATCCAAGGTGGAACTTTAAAAAAAAAAACATAAACAATTCAAAGAAAAAATACATTCTTGTTTTTTTACAATAAAATATATACCATTAACATTAAGTTGTATATATCGTGTTATTGTTCCTGCTGGATTTGTTGCTATACAATGATATCGATCAGTATCTGTTATATCAACTTTTCGAATTTCTAAAGAACCATTTGAATGTAAATATGTATTCATATTTTGATTATCTATATAAAATTTTGTTTTTCTTTTCAAAAGATTTTTACTTATGAAAATATATTCTTACGATTGATTGGATTATTTTGACGAAACCAAACAATAGTTGGTTGAGGATGACCAGTAACTGGACAAGAAAGAAGAATTGGATTATATATATTTACATCAAGTTGATTTTCTACAGAATTATTTGTTAAACTAGGTGGTTCTAATAAAATTAAACATAATATATATTAATAAAAAGAAAAAAAAACGTTTTTTTTTTTTTTGTGGAAACCATAAACATCAACTTGAAATAATTGTTTTATTTGACCAATTTCATTATAAACATCACAAACATATGAACCACGATCGATTGTTTTCAATGAATGAATAATTAATGAACTTGTTGAATCAATTGTCATTCGATCATGTTCCAAAATAAATATCTAAAATAATAATTAAATCAAAACAAAAATAATTCAATTAATTATTCTCTTTTTTACATTATCATCTTTAAACCAATTAACAATTGGTTTTGGTAAACCAATATGATTACAAGGTAATATCAATGATTTTGATATAATACCATTTAAATATCCATCAGATTCAAAAGTAAATCGTGGAATCACTACAATCAGAAAAAATAAAAAGAATTCTACAAATTAAATTATTCATAAACCTACTTGTAACAATTAAACTAATATTAGCACTTATATTTCCAAATAAATTCGAAATAAAACATGTATAAATACCAGCATGATATTGTTGAACATTTCTAATAATTAATATTGATCTATTATCACTTTGATATGGACGTTCTGTATTATTATGATACCAACTAAACAACAATAAACAATTTCATTTTTTTTTTTTTTTTTTTTTGTGTAGATAAAAAAATAAAAATTTCTATATACACTATATGAGGTTTAGGTGAACCATGTACTTCACAAATAAGTTGAACTTGTTCATCGATTTCAACTTGAATTTCTTTGACAGGAATATTTATTGTTGGTTTAGCTTTGAAAAAAAAAACAATAACGAAAAAATGTATTTATTTACTTATTTATTTTTACTTCCAACATCAAGACGAATTGATGTAGATGATGATCCAACAGTATTTTGTACAAAACATGTATAATTACCACTATCTTCTTCTTCCGATGCTAATCTTATATGTAATTGTCCATTTGGACTTATTCGATGACGAGTTACCTTTAAACAGAATAATTTAAATTTGAATATTTAAAAATAAAAAACGAACTTACAGGTTCATTTCCTCTAAACCAACGTATATCAGGATATGCTTCACCTATCACATTACATTTTAAATCAATATCATGACCAGGTGAAACAAGTATATGAGAATTTTCTGTTGATACTATTGGAGGTTCTGAAATAAAATACAAAAGATGATGATATGAAGAAAAAAACAAATATATATATATGTATACATACCAACATAGATAAGTTGAGCTGTTTTAATATCTTCACCTGCTATATTAGTTCCAATACATTCATAAAAACCTTTCGAATAAGAAAATTTAACATAAATATATTAAATATAGGGTTTTTTATTTTCAATACCTTCATCATCTTTTGTTGCCATTACAATCGTCAAAATTCCATTATTAACTTGTATCTTAGATGATAGTTCCATAGGGTTTGTATGATTTTGTTGTCGCCATATTAATAATGGACGTGGAATACCAGCTGTGCCAACACATGTTAATGTTATATTCCATTCATTTGAATACATAATTGTTTGTGGATAAACATAAACATATGGAATTTCTATTATAGGAAAACAATATTATAGATGTCACAAAAACAAATACATCATACCTTGTACATATATAGTAATGCGTTCTTGTGTTTCACCACCTTCATTATTTGCAATACATACAAATACTGAATCATCATCTGATTTTTGAATATTTCTAAATAGGAGATAGGTTTTTTTTTCTTCAGGATTTCCTTGGAAATTCAATTAAATATTAGCATATATAAAGATCTTCTATATAGTTTTCGAGAATACTCATAGAAGACATTATATGAAAAATATATAGGAAATAATAGTTGAAAAAAAGGAAAAACAAATTTACATTAATATCAAAGTGCCATTTTCAAAAATTCTTGTACGACTTTCTGATGGTTCAATTAATATCGATGATGATAATTCTTGTTTCCAATTTAATTTATAATCTTTTGTACTTTGTACAAGACAATCAATTGAAATAGTACTACGTATTAATGCAAATAATGATTTTGATGGTATTGTTTGAATAAATGGTGGTGAAGCTATTGAATTTTTAATTTAAAAAAAAAATTATTTTAGAAATTTTCTCTTCATTTTTTTTTTTTTGTAAACTTACCAAGTATATTTACATTTATTTCACCAATATCATAACCACTTGTACTTGTTACATTGCATATATATAATCCTTCATCATTTATTTCTGTTGGTTGATCAATTAAATATTCTACTGTAGTTATATGAGTTCTAAAAAAAAAATACAAAAATAAATAAATCAAAAAAACAAAAAAACTTCTATACGAATAATTCGAAATAGAAATTAATTGTCCATTTTTCAGCCATTGAACTTGATATGGAAGTTGACTTTGTATATGACATTGAATTTTATATGAAATATTTGATTTAATTTCAATAGAATTTGAATCAACATTAACAATTGGTTTTAATGGAATATAAGATGTAAGTGCTGTTGAACTTAAACGTTGAAAACGATGACCATTACTATCAATACCAGATAACTAAATTTTAATTTTTGAAATTAAAATTATATCAAAAACAAAAAAAAACAATATTTGAATTACTCGAATATAAAAGAAAAAACTTTTAACAGGTGGTTCAAATTTTCTTAAAGTTGAATATAATGTTGGATGAATAAGATTTATTTGAAGTTTTTCATTTATAAGTACATTACCAAATAGATCAATTAATTCAATTTGTTCAGCATTACGAATATTATCTTGACTATTAATTTCAATTGTTAAATAAGTTAATGTACCTTCATATAGAAAAATAATTAAACAAAAAAATTTTCTTTCTATTAAATATATAAAAATTTACCTTGAATTGGTTGTCGATGTGTTCGTGTTAAATCAGTAATTAGATTTGATGAAAAACCATGTCGAAATGTTAATCTACTTAAACCTGTTATACGAATTGAATGTGCTGATGAAGATATTACTTGAATTTTCCATTCACCAATCTTAAATCAAATTATACAAACAAGGTATATATATATATATGAAATCAATTGGCAAATAAAATTAAACATAAATCAATAGAATAATTTAATGATTGATTTATTTGTTTAATATTATTATCTTAAAATATATCAAAGTTTAAATAGTTTTTCTATTTCTAGTGACTATAAATTTATAAGAAAATTCATTATAGAATGCTCGACAATCTCTTGTTTACTTCGAAATTTTCTATACACGAAGATAAGAACATCAAAGGAAACTACTGATCAAATCGCATGGGAAATTTCATCAATTATTATGTCTATTCTAGTTGACTAATCTATATCTTTGAACAAAAAAAAACATCTAAAAATAGCTTATTGTTTTTCTGAACTCACATATATTTTCGAAGAAAATAATGAGTACAAATTTTGTGGTTTTTTTCCTTCTCATGACAGACCCTTAGTAACCTAGAGTCAAAAGTTACTAATCGAACCATTTTGTTTTAATACAATTAGTATCCTATACTGGGTACTTTGTCTAGTGTGAATAAATATTAAAAAAAAACATTTTGCATTGAGACTAAGATTTTGTTTTTACAATCTGTTCTATCCATCGAGAAAACTACTTTTTCTACAAGAAAAATAGTTATATAATATACTTCTCTATCAAACTAAAAAGAAAAAAATTCTTAACCTTAATACAAAGTTTTTATTTAGTATCTATTCATATCCAATGTTGAACACTAAGTACAATAGTATGATTATAAATGAATTAAATTTACCATTGGATGTTTTACATTTAATATATAAACTTCTTTAAGACGTAAAAGACGTGTAAACCATGAACGTTGATTTAATGTTTTGTCTAAAAAACCAAAAAAAATAAATTTGAAATAAAAAAAAAAACCAAAAAAAATACTTGATGGATCAATTAATGTCACTTGTGGATTAGCACCACTAACTGATATAGTAAATTCAAGAAGTTTAGAATCAACTGCTAATGTATAATTTTGTTTATTTCGTTTAATTTTATCAATAACTAATAAATTAACTTTTCGTGTTTGAATTGAATGTTGAACAAAATTAAGAATCTATTAAAAAAATTTTTTTTTTTTCAGAATAACAAATAAAATATTAAATTCCTTTTCAATCATACCTCACTAACTTGTTGTTTATGTAAAGTAAATACTTGTCCACTACTTGTAGCAGCTATTTTATGAAATATTTGATAACCAATATGATTTTGATCACCACAATCACCTGTCATAACAAATACAACCTTTATTTGAACAAAAAACAAAACAAATGAGATAAGTATTTAAAACAAAAAAACAAAAAATATTTTTGTTTTACTTGACTTTGCTTTTCTTGAATTAATTTTAAAACTGTATCACCTAATGAATAATCTTTTGAACGAGCATCAGTAAATACATATATAAATGAATTTGGTAATGATTGTTCAAGTGCTAATTTAATAGCTGTTATTGTCATTTCTGGACAATCCCCACCACCTTGTACAATTAAATCTTGTAAACCTCGTTGAAATCGATTTGGATCACGAGTTTTTAATATTGGTCCAACATCTAAATATATGTATATTAGTGGAAATATTTTGAGATTTTATTATGTTTACCTGGATCAGCAAATGGTATAAGTATATAATCATAAATAGCATATTCTCGTCGAAGTGTTGCATTATATATATGTGTTGCACCTTGAATAACTTGTAAAAGATCATCATGCATTGATCCAGTTACATCAAATACAAATGTTACACTTGATGTTCCTAATGGTGGATCTGTTTGATTAGAATAATTAATTGATAGAATAATTATAAATATTATTAATATAATTGTTGTTCTCATTTTATAATTCACAATGGAATATAAGTTTGATTATATAGACAAATTCATGTGAATTGTATTGTGTACATAGTCGAGTCTTTTGCGTGTTATCATTCATATGTTCGCTTTTTTCTTTTCTTCATGCAGTTTCTTTTTTTTTTTTTGCATATTAAGCCTTCAGGACACGTTAAATCGGCAAACGAGAGCGGATGAATTGATGACCTAACAGATTAAATCAATGTGTTATTAGTTGCTCATGTATACAGAGGTATGCATGCATGCATACAAAAAGAAAGCCTAGTGGGTATGTAAGTTCAATGTGAAGTTGTTTATTATTGTGCCTCAATGAATGACCAATCGATTGACTCCTTTCTATTTGAAGTTATATATTTAGACAATTTAGCCTTTAAATAAAATATGACTGTTCAATTATACTTGGAAATATTTTAATTTTCTCTTCGAAATAAATTAAAATCTTTATTAATTAAATATTTTATCTTTCGTTTTGTTTTTTAATTTATTTTCACTAGTTAATTTTTTGTTAAAATAAAACTTGAATCAAACAAATAATATAAATTACTAGACAAAAAGTTCCTAATGTAATTGGAAAAAAACAAATATACGCTTGTCTCGCTAAAACCTTTTCCTGCATTTCAATGTAAACTTCCTGTTAACATATAAAAATTTTGACAAAAAGTCAGAAACATCTGTCATATTAAAGTTTCTATTGATGAATCATTTATAGATAGTTCCATATATCTATATGTCTGTTATAAAATCAAACGTGCTGTTTTTATGTTAACTGAGAGACTGATGTAAAATACGTGCATAGAATTACTATATTCCAAATAAATTATTATATAAACTTTTGTTATGTTAGTCTTTTACATCAGTGTTATACTTCATCTAATTACAATAAACTATATGATGCATTAAAAACACGATGATTTTATATAATTAATTCAAAAAGAAAACTAAGGAAAAGAAAAAATTTAATCTAAATATAATAATGAATATGGAACGGAAAAGTTCAAAAAAAAAATTCTCATTTATTATTTATTTTCTATTCAATAAAAAACAAAAACAAATTTTTGTACGATAATCAAATAATATTGAGTTCAAATTTATAAGCATTTGGGATTTGACGTCATGATCTTTAATAACTTATCTACATCTGCTCTTTTGATTGTAGATTGCTCGTAAATATTCACATATTATTCAGTTCATTTTGTTTTCTCCTACTAGAATAAATACGACTTTTCTACATACTCATAGACGACACTGTCATCATCGATTCTAGTATATGCACGAACGTGAGTAGCATAAGAAAAACGATATAAATAAATAAGGTAAATGTTTTACACATCAATACATTATTATTATCACTATTGTCATCGGTACTAGTGAAACAACAACATTGACATAGCCAGAAAAAAAAAAGAGGAGAGAAATAAATCAAAAAATTATTTCATGATAGAGCTACATGAGACGTTGCATTAGTTTATATATATATATATATATTCTATTCGATACATCATCCACAATTTTATTCATTCCATTCATAAGATAGAAGAAAAAAAATTATAGTTATTACGTTTATTTTTTACAACCAGCTCACATTATGGTAATGTTCTTGTTCACTCCTTGCCTATGCCTAAGAGGCAGATAGATCTTTGCGGATGAAAGAACACTAATAACATCCGGAATACAGGCATACATATATATTTCGACATAGATCTCGTCATACCGTAAGAAACTGTGAAGATTTTTTTTTTCTTTTTTCTTTTTTTATTATAGACAAATAGCGTGTTAGGTGGAAGCAGGCAATACTTGACTTTCTGGCTCATCATTCACAATAATACAGGTAAATGAAGACATCATTCATCAAAAAATAGAATTGTTTCGATACTAAAATTGAGATAGAATTTTAGTGAATATAATTCAAAAAAAGATAATATTTTCATCATTTTTTTACTTTATTTTGTAAATATTTAGTTTCACGATGATTATTATTATTTTTTTTTTTTTTTTTGTCAAAAGTAATATATTGATGATATATGAAAGTTTTATCAAATTAAAAAATACTATATTTAATTTAGAAGAAAATAATAATCGTCAGATTTCTTCTTTATAAAAAATTCATTTCAAAAATAGAAAGTATTTGTCATTTTTTTATTTGATAAGTAATATCAAAAAAAAAAAACAAAAACCTAGTCCTAGAAGAAAATGTCATTCAAATAATGATCTTTTCAAAAAAAAAAAGATAGAAGCAAAAAAAAAAGTTAAGATGTCATGATGTGTGAGACATTCAGATTATAACAACATTTTCTATATTCTTATATATTCTAGACGTCAAATTTCTCATGTGACGGTTACAGTTGCTATCTAATTGAACACGAGAGCAAGAAGTTCTTCTTATAATAGCTGACATATACATAAAAAAGAAAAACTTGTTGCCGTGAATGACGTTTACAATATGCATGTCAAACGAGTGTATCTGTTGAAGCTGAATGACGACAAAAAAAACGAAGAAGTTTTTCTATAACTAATTAGTAAGTTACATGAGAGGAAGCAATAAGAGACAATAAAAAAAAATAAATGATTATACCAATTAAAAAATATCTATAAATGACAACAACAATATATGTGTGTATATATGTCATGTTTCTAGTTCTGATGAATGACAATTTATTGTATAAAATGTTTAATAGAAAAAAAAAAAAAACAAAACAAAACAAAACTATAAAAGACTAGACGAAGCGCATCATTGCATTTCATTGAACATATTCATTAAAATTGATGCACCATATTGATAGTTTGTAATATTAAGATCAAAAGAGCGAAGCAAAAATGGAAAAAAAAAAAAACAAGAAAGAGTGAATATTAATAGAATTACTCATCTATATATGCTTGCAATAAACTACTATATGATATAATTGGTTCATACTATGTTGATTTCGAGAGTACTTGAAAAGCGATTCTCTCGCATTTTTCTTCATGTTTTTTTTCTTCTTTACAACTATTCATTCGTCATGATATATGCGACGTGTAAGTGAAGAAAAGGAAATGAACACTTCTCATGTAAATCTAACCACCTATAAAAATGTATAAAGACATATAACGAAATTACCCATATTCAAATCTCTATATAATCATTGTCAAGTCTGTCAATTTTGTCAGTTTTTCCTCTCTCTCTCTCTCTGCTTTTACCGATTGACAAATTATATACACTGAATAATTCTTCTAAATATATATAGAATCAACTGCCTTCATTAATTTATTATTTTCTCACTCGTAGAGTTCGTCTCTATGTCAGGCGATCTATATCCTTTTCCTTCTCGGTATGAAAAGTTTGAGGTGTGTATATATTTTGTTTGATTGCTTATGCTTTCGTTTTGCATACATCAATGTATAAAGACACAAAACTGGAAGTCTCAAGCGATTTTGTCGTCAACATCATTTAATTCAATTCATCGTATGTCGTGCATTAACAGTAATAGCGGCCCGTCAAATTTTTAACGGTGTTTTCTTTTTTCTTCTTTTTTTTCTCATCTTTTCCTCTATTCTCTCTTCATCTTTTTCTTCACATCAACATTCACTGATCTTTTTAATACCAATTATTATTAGTTTCCTTTTTTATTTATTTTTTTTTTGCTCTGATTCTCTCATTCCGTCGTTTTTCTTCTTGTCGTACAACATCTGTGTTTAACAAGAATACAAATTCTATCAATATTTTTATATTAATTCTACTGTATAAAGATTTTCATCAAAAATTCTCATCAACATTATTATTATTATTATATCTGAACATACAAATTTACTTCAACTGTAATGGATATTCAGGAAAATGGGGTATGCAATTTTCTCGATGACTTGACTGTAAAATAGGAGAAAGAAATTCATTCATTTTTTTTTTTTGCTTGACATAATTTATTGTTAACTATAGATATAAGAGGCAAAAAAAAAAAGACATCAAAGATAAAAAAAAGATAACACAATAAATTTTTTAATCTTTGATTATTTATTAAACAAAACACAAAAGAGAAAATATTTATATTTCTTTTTCCTTGTTGTAGAGATTTAGAATATTTACTACTTTGAAAATATCTAATGAATAAAAATGATTATATATTGACATAAGTACTATGTTTTATCAGTATTCTTTATTGAAACATTCATTGTGTAGGCTTCTCTATTTTTATTTCTTACATTGCTTTCCCAACCTTCTCATTACATTTTTCCTTGTTCTTCTTCTTCTTCTTCTTCTTCTCTTCTCTTCCCTCTCGTCTTTATTTGTTACTATATACTCAACAACTATACGTTCTTCTCTGACTATCATAAAAATCAACAAGAGAAAAAGGCAACTATTTACTGATTATTTACTATTAATCATATATTATATTAAATATGAAATTGATAAGAAAAGATCTGTGCTAGTAATCAATCTTCTATACACGGTGGAATTTATTTTTTTTTTTCTTTTTGGATTGATTTTTTCATTTCAGTGGATCATGAACATATAAAAGTCATGCACGAGCATGTACCTCATATTATTGACGCTTTCTTTTGCCTATGCTTTGACAGCAATGTTCGACGACTGTGATTCTTTTTTTTTTTTTCTCTTTTCTTTTTGTTGCACATCTATTCATCAGGTTTCTCAATATTGTTGTGCATCGACGACTATAGTCGTTATCTTCTTTTTTTTTGCTAAAATAAAAGAGTCAGAACTAAGATTTTGTATGATCTTTGAGTGGCTTAGTTTGTTTTTTTCCGCAGTTTTTTTTTCTATAGTTAGTAGCGTAAAAAAAAAAAAAAAGAAAGAAAGATGAAAAATGAAATAATTTTTTCTTTTGAGAATTAATGAATCAGAATTAAAGTTAATCCATAATTCTATTATTTGAGTTTTAATAAAAAGAAGAAGAAGAAGAAGAAAAAAAAAAGTGAAAATTTATTTAGGAAATTGATTTCTTATCAACATCATTAAATTGTTCAAAACTAATTAATATGACCGATCAAGATAC